TCCTCCTCCTCCTCCTCCTCCTCCTCCTCCTCCTCCTCCTCTTCCTCTTCCTCCTCCTCGTCCTCCTCCTCTTCCTCCTCCTCCTCCTCCTTCCGGCGGCAATCATCAGCTGCATGCTGGGTGAAGGGGAGGAGGAGTAAGAGGAGCAGGAGAACCATGAGTAACGCACGGAAGAGGAGTGCAAGGATGTGGTGGAAAACGTATCTGGAGGAGGGGCCCGTGGCCGTGCCTCCCCTCCTCCCCACCCCCTTATCCAAACAAAAAGCAGGAACTCGAAGAGTGTGCAGGCACGCGCGCACGCGAGCACGCCCCGCCGGGGAGAGACGCGGACCTCCTTACCCTTTCGGAGATCGCCGCCTGGCTGCCCTGCCCGCTGCACTGTAGACAAGGGCGGCCCCGCCCGCCCGCTGCGCTGTAGAACGGCGCGGGCGCGGCCGCCGCGGCCGCGAGCCTGAGCGGGTGCTTCTGCCCCGCGGCCTGGCCCAGGCACCGAACTCTGCCTGGGCCGGGCCCGAATTCCAAGGCCGCCAGCACTGCGCCCGCGCCCCCCTGGCGCTGTCATGTTGAGCAGGGACCCGACCGTCCCGGCATTCCTATAGGCTTACCACTGCATGTTTTCAGAGCCCAGCGAAGTTCCAAGAACAGAAGCAGCGTTCTTAGAACACAAGCCCGATGTGTTAGAACAAAACAACTTCGGCCAGAAGCGCTCTGAGAACATTTCGTGCAAACCACGGAAAGCTCTTGCAACATTCTTCGGTGAGAACTTGGGCAAGCGGGGACGCCTCGCCACTGCTTGATCATGGGGAGCGCGCGCGTGGTGGGTGGAGGGGGCGCTCGCCTAGCTCCGCCGCCACGGCTCACAGGCAGATCGTGGACGGCTCCGGCTCCGTGTTCGCCCACGTGCAGGTGTAGGTGCTGCAGCACTCGTTGTAGTAGTCGCAGGGCTCGTTCCAGGCGGCGCAGGAGCCCTCGGGCCCGTGCTGGTCGCCTCCGGGCGAGAGGCAGATCGTGGATGGCTTCGGGTCCGTGTTGGCCCACGTGCACTGGTAGCCGTCGCAGCACTGGCTGTAGTAGTCGCAGGGCATGTTCCAGTCCACGCACGTGCTCCTGGACGTCGACGGCGTGCCCGAGCTCGTGCCGGGTCCCTTGCTCGTGCTCGGCGGCCTCGCGCACGCCATCAATGGGACGCCACCGGACGTACGATGAGGGACGCCACCGATCCACCTCGCCGAGCCCAGCCGTGACTCCACCCGGGCCCAGGATGGGCGCGTCGCGCATCCTCCTGGCCTGGCCAGGGAGGCACGTGCACGGACCTCGGGCCCAGGCTCGGCCCAGCCACGACGGGCGAGGTGGGCAGCTGGCCTCCCCCGACGATGCCCCTCGCCGCCCGCGATGGGCCGGCAGACGGCGTCGCCGCAGCACGGGATCTGCTGCTGGCCGCCCGCGCCGCACAGGGCCTGGGACGGGTCCTCCGCGGGGGAGATGCACTTGCCAGCGGGGTAGCACTGCATCTGGATGATGCCCGCCGCGTTCCCGAGCTGCGGCGCGCAGTGGCCGTAGTCGCAGCAGCACTTGTCCAAAGCGTCCGCCGCGCACCACGGGTTGCCGTTGTAGCCGCACGGCAGGCCGCTCGCGAGGCATCGGCCCGAGACACCATCCTGGGGAAACCAAGAGGTGCTGATACTGCCGCTCCCTGGACCTCTCCCGTAGCGCGTTCTGACCACCGTTTCGAAGTGTTTCCAACGGTAGCGACGAGGGCCTCCCAGGAGACCCCCCCAAAGGGGGAAAACGGGAAACGTAGCGGCGCAGTTGAAATCTATAGTCAGGACGGGCGGTAAGGACGCAAGGGCCCTGGACGCCGAGGTTGGCACTTTCTTCGGCGGCGAAACTGCCATCACACCATGCAGGACTGGTCAGTGAGGAAATCGCGAAGGACGGGCCGCCAAGATGCAAGGACGTGAGGATGGTTACTTGAGCAGGGACCGACCGTCCTGGCATTTCAATAGTCCTACCCCCGAACTTTCCAAGAACACAAACACTGTTCTTAGAACATCAACCCGGTGTGTTCAATCACGACAGTCCCATGTTTTTAGAACATTGTTCGGTAGGCTTATAGGCGAGCCAAGACCCTTCGCCACTGTTTGAGTTACCCTGAGGACGCCCGAGCCTCCTTACTCTGAGTTCTGACTGTAATGGTACCATTCGGTCGGACATGATGTGTCTGACAGTGTTTGACTATTTTCGAGTATTGTTTTGGTATTGTTAATTTGTCGTTCAGAATCCGCCTGTAGAGGGACACGCTCGACCTGACTGTAATGGTACCACCTTTTCCTCCCCTGACGTCCTCCTCGCAGGCGGCCTGGCCCCGAGCGGCGCCACTGCAGTTGGCCGCCGCGCCGCCGCGCAGCCGCCGCGCCGGCGGGCCCTCGTCAAGCGCCGCGCTGGCCGAGGCCACGCCGAGGGCGAGGGCGAGGCGGGGGAGCGGTGCCGGGCGCGCCATCTCGGCTCGGGAGCGGCCTGGTGGTGCCGGGGTGGGCTACTGAGATGACCGCGGGGGGGCGTCTAAGTCGATAGATGGGTTGCAGGTGGATGCCAAGGTGGGTTGTATCTGGCCCAACCTGGCTTATAAGCGGGTTGCAAGCTCCCCGAGTGGCTTAGGGGGTTAGATAACTTCGCTAAGTGGGCGGAGCCCGCTTAGCCCGGATCGTTAACCCCCCTAAGCTACTTGGCGCATTTGTAGGCCACTTATAAGTCAGGGTGGGCCAAATTAAACCCACCTTGGCATCCACTTTTACCCCCCCTATCCATTTAGACCCCCCCACGGTCATCCCAGTAGCCAGATTCGAACTGATCCCTGCCCGCAGGAGTGGCAGGCCCAATAGGGCGACGAGAGTCTGAGCGGCGCGCCCTCGGAAACTGATGGGGACCTCTGAGATCGGCGTCGCGGTGCGGCGATGCCACTCCTAAGGGCAAGGATCTGTTTCAGGCTGTACTTACGGGCGGGCGCGCGCCGGGTCGGAGCAGGCTTGAGCCAACTGTGGGGATACCGAAAACAACAAGACCGCTACTCCGCGGACGTCTCCCAGTGCGTTCTGACCGCGATTCTGAGGAGAGTCCAGCGGTGGCGACGAGGGCCGCCCTGGAGGCCCGAACAGGGGGGAACGAGGGAAGGGCAGCGGTGTGGGTACCTGTTCCTCCTTTGATCGGCGGCGAGCGAGGGGGAAATGAGAAGGAGAAGGCCTTTTCGGAAGGCGGCAGGACTTCGCAGAAGCCCTCGCGCCTTCAGGTCCGTTTTCTGCGTCTCCAGGACAGGCGTAGAAAACTTTAGAAAAAAAGGCCGGGGGACTTTCGAGCCTTCTGAAAAGGCCCGGCCCTCCTCACTTCCCCTCCGGGCTCGCCGCCGATTTGAGGGACGGAAGCGCATACGTCGTTTATTTCTAATCGTGCTCATTTCTAAGTGTGCTCGTTTCTAATTGTTCCTGGCCCATTAGTGGCTAAGAAGAGGCCCAAAAAATCAAATAATTTGCGAATATTTAAAAATAGCCATGTGCAGATTGGCCACGCAAGCGGGGCGCAGGTCAACGGGCAGGCTCTGAGAAAATTGTGGCCCCTGGACGCGGCGCTGCACAGACCCGGCTCGGAGGGGGGCACTGGAAAGAGGAGAAGGAGGAGGAAGAGGAGGAGTAGGGAGAGGAAGAAAAGGAGGAGGAGGAGGACCAGTGTAAGCCCAAGAGTCTTCAACGATGTTGGAATAAACCCTGCCTCCAAGCCCCCTCTTCATAAGCCCCTGCGGTTGTCGCGTGGGAAGACAGCCGTTCGAAGATCTTGGAGCATGCCAACACATTGTCCTTGGAATCCAAACGCTACGGATCAACCTGACTGTTGACTGTGAGCGATCCTGGATCGTGCCACAACGTCACTCATGAGACTTCAACGCCCCGAACCAATGTAACTGTTACGCCCTCATACTTATGAATTCGTCCAAAACGCTGTTTGGTACGCTGAGCAGGGGATTCCACGAAACTCTGACACGTGATATATATATATATATATATGTTTATATATGTATATGTATATATATATATATATAGAAATAAGCGAATATGCGCTGCGCTGAGGCGAACACTTCATTTTGAAAACGAACCGCCCTCAATCCGCGAAACTCTTGCCCATGTTTGAAGCGAATGCGCGCGGCGCTACGACGGGAACCATATTTTGAAAACGACCCGCCCTCAACCCGTTAAGCTCTTGGTTTCCCCAAACAAGAAACTAACGTGCGCGGCGCTAAAGTGAAAGCCACATGTCCCGCCCTCCATCTGTGAAACGATTGACAACCTTCAAGCCTCAGGGTCATAAGTGGTGAGGACGTCTCAGGCGACACGCTCGGCCATCCCTAACAACTAACCTCTGGTGGCAACAAGGGAAACATCAGTAATAAGAGAGATGAATGGAAGAGGAGGAGGAAGAGAAGGAGGAGGGGGAGGAAGAGGAGGAAGAGGAGGAGGATGAGAAGGAGGAGGGGGACGAGTCATGGATCCAAGAACTGCGCGGTGCGCGTCGCGCGCAACCGGGCCGCAATGGCAGGCAACTGGCGGCCCTGGCCTCTTTCTTACGGGATGAAGTGGGCCCGAGGGCGCGCGCACCGACGAACGGGGGATAGGCAGCTACCTCGTCGCCACACGTTGCATGTAACCGGGAGGGCGTGGGGCGGAAGGGGGCGGTCGGTTCGCCTCGTCGCTGCGAAGTACTGCCCGACTATCCACCCCTGCCTAATCAGCTGGCGTGCGCGTCCAGGTTTGTCCCCCCCAGGTGAGCGGGCACAAGGCCACCATGGGACTTACGGGCCATACGGCCCCGCTTCTCAAACAAATGCGGCCCCCCCCCCCCGTGCCTGGTACCAATTTCCACGTCACGGAACGTGGCTAGCGCCGCTGCCACGGGCAAAATGCAACGTGGCTGGTTCCAAAAGGCGCGGGCCGGTTTAGCTGCCGTCAGTCGCCGCATGCAGTCGACTCTGACGGTGTGCCCCGAGGAGTGTGTGTGGCGATGACACAATGAAAACAAGTGCCAGGCCCCCACCCTCGGGGAGGAGGAGGAGGAGGAGGAGGAGGAGGAGGAGTGAATACAGGAAGAGGAGCAGGCACAGGAGGAACAGGAGCAGGGGCCGCAAGCACAGGAGGCCCAACAACAGCAGAACGAGGAACGAAACGAATACTACGCTCCCCCAGTCCGCGAGGCCAATCTCGGGTTACGAACGGAATCCATCAACAGAAACATGTGCACGAGCGTGCTTGTCCCGCTCCTGAACCTCTGGGGTCGCCATCAGCTCCAAGTAGCCCCTGGAGCAAAGAACGGACCGACGACAGGATCCGAACGAAAACTGCCCAGGGGGCTGCCTCATCCCGTCGTGCACCCACCGACCGCCCCGAAGCTCCCCCCTAAACCCGTGCCGTCGCAATTCCGAATGCCCAACCCTCCCCCTTCCCTCTCCCGCTCATCCTACGCACCCCTCTCCCCATCAATCGCCCCTCCATCCCCGCTCCCCCTCCCCCGTTCACGTCCGCGCCCCCCTTCCTTTCCCCGTTCGCTCACTATCTCTGTTTCTTCCCGCCTCTCGTTCCTGCTCCTGCGCTTCTCTCCCGCTGCCCACTCCCCCCCCCTTTCCCCCTACCCACTCCGCCTCCTCCAAATGCTCCTCTCCTCCTCCTGCTCCTCCTCCTCCTCCTCCTCCTCCTCCTCTCCTCCTCCTCCTCCTGCTCCTCCTCTCCTCCTCCTCTCCTCCCTCCTCCCTCCTCCTCCTCCTCCTCCTCCTCCTCCCCCTCCCCCCCCTCCTCCTCCTCCCCCTTCTCCTCTCCCTTGTACCTGCCCGCCCGTCCTTGTCAGTAACTAACATCTACCATGACGACAGGATACGTTTCTTCTTCCCACTATCCATTACAGATACGGAGAGATTGTGGGCGGGGTATTTTGCATACAACATACGCACAATTAAGAGACGGGTCACGATCAATGAGGGAAATGGGACCAACACACAGAGTACTACGCGAGTGCCGGGGCAGATCGAAAACTCACGACCTCCTCCATCGATCATATTCGGATCCCACCGCTGATCTGGCTCAACGACGGCCCTTGTGCGCAGTGTTGCGCACTAGCGGGGTTTCTCGGAGTGCGTAAGACGGGAGGCCACGCATGGCCTTCACGGGCAGCAGCCAGCTATGGCCCTGCGGGCGTTGCAACAAGGGGTTCGGGTACTACAAGATGATCGAGGGACACAGGGAGCACACAATACATTAAACTGGCCATGAACAACAGATCAAGGAAGCAAAGGCAATGCAAGAAGGTGTGTGCGTCGGCTGCGAGCTGGTGATGAGGCAAGAGGACTGGGACGCATGGAGTGATGAAGAAAAGACGCTACATGGAGGAGAACAGTATATTTCGAGAGGCCAAGTCTGCCGATAACAGAAGAGGAATTCAAAAGGAACCGCGTGGGAAGCCAAATCCGTGGGACAGGTCAAAGAGCGCAGGCGCTCCTGGCGGAAAAAGAAGGCCCGAAGAAAAAGTCTCGCAGCGTTAAGGAACACATTGGCCCTGAGCCCAAGGAGATGGCAAATGCACTGCTGGAGGGCATCACAATGAATGGAGGCATCTACGGAGCCTTTCGCAGCACAGCAGGAAGAAGCATGACAGAGGCTTTACGATGCGCCGAGGAATGCGACATCCTGTTCAACAAGTACATGACCATGGACATCATGACGAAGACGCACTGAAGGCAACACGTAAGACTTGGAGAAAAAACGACGAGCTCCACGAAATGGGCGACTACAAAACGGCGAAGAACAAGAGGAACAAGCAGTCGGCGTACCTCGAAGCGTTGGGCTTCGTGGACAAGCAGAGCGACAACATGCAAGTGTTCAACGTATACAGGAGGAAACATGATGGGACGAAAAGAAGGGCGTAGCCTGACCGTGCGGGCTTGCGTTCCCAAACAAGTTGTGGTGTAAAGGCCCCAGCCCCAACTCGAGAGGGGACAACTGGCAGTTCTGGTGCAAGGTGGACTGGTCGCAGCTCGTCAAGGCGCAGGAGAACCACCAAGAATCTGAGATCATGAAAGGGTGGGTGGACGAGGTGAAGGGCGAGTACGGCGCTGACTGGGAGGGGCGGCCTGACATCGGGTGCAAGTCGCAATTCCTCCCGTTCAAGAGTGGGCCGTCAATGGTGGTGGAGCTTAAAGTGGGACATGGCTGGGAAGCGCTTGTAGCGGAAAGGCTGCCGCAGCAGCTAGCCGACGCCATCAAGGAGTGCCACTGCAAGTTCTACGGCGCCGCCCAGCAAATGCGCCCAGAGGAGCTGTTCGAGCTGATCCCCGTGTCCTTCCCGATGACGCACAAGGTTAAAGGTTGTGATCTCATCGCAAGGTATCCTGTGGACGCGTGGGAGAGGGCTGGGAGGAAGGCCTTCACTGTGCAGAGCTGGTGCAAGCTGGCGCTGAAGATTTCGAAG